AAGTGACCATTTCGAATATACTTGTGTTAAAAGAAGCTTGATAATTATTCATATAATGTACACACATAATTGGAAACCGTTAGGAGCATCAGCCAACGAAGATGCGTGTTTTGTTGTACCACGTCGTACTGGTTTGTGCCGTTTTCGCCACAATAAAGTCTAAAAATGTGCTCGAATCGAATCGTTCAGCTGGCGACAAGACTGAACGGACTGTACGCGACGTCACTGAATGTCACGTCAGTATTGCCAAGTTTTCAATCCAGTCAGAGTTTTATTTATTTCAAACCATATTTGCTTTCGTTTTTCAGATTTCCACACCGAGTTCAGTTTCCCAGATATCAGCATACAGTGGGACAGGTGAGTTATATTGCACGTACAGCGCCGTCTCTGTCCCGAGGCGCGTTTGTTTCGCCCAATCATGTTTATGATTAACCAATGACGACAGCTATTACGTGTTCGACTACGCTCAATCACGATTGTGATTGGTAGTCATAACAATCACGCCCTGTACCGTGACTGTCATGATTAAAGATGGTGGACAGACAACAGGTGGTCCAAAGGCAATGTGTAAATATCAAAACGTCTTCAAACATTTTGCCGTTTTTAGCTAGTTGCATACGATCAGGATATGTTTTATTTGCAGCTTCGATTTCAGTAATAACGTCAAACTAATAATAATCATGATCAGGCAAATTGAACATGCCGAACAGATCAGTCAACTAGTAAAATCGGCGTTGTTTAACAATATCAAAGATATAGCTGGCATTACTGACATTACATAAGTAAAAAAAAAAATGATCGTTTCTCCTGACGCAGGCAGCCCATACTTCATGACCCGGAAGTTGGTGTGAACTTGCCTCATGGTGACTCGCTCAATTAAGAAAACTTCAGAAAAACCGGACGTACGAACGAAAAAAAAAAAAAAAAAAAAAAAAAACTAAAATGATATTTGACGAGCTCGCTCGCATTTGGAAATTGAAATAATCCATGACACAAAACAACTGACAAAGCTAGGAGCTGAAATGAAGATCTATTGTTACTGTGAATGTGTGCGTTTGTTCTTTGAATAAGAACAAACGCAAACAGGGGCTGCAGGGGCAGTTATGTAATGAATGTGTCCCTGTGTGCGCAGTAAAATCCTCACCGGGAGAGGGCGCTCCAATCGTATTTAGCTGTTATATGTTATTTACTTTGATTTTTTTTTTACAGTAAACAGACAGACGAGACATACTGGAAGGAGATAAATGCTGCAATGGCGTTGACACACATGGCTCGGTTGAAGCAAAGGCAAATACAAGCCAGAAAAACACCCTGCACAGCAACGTGTTGAAATAAACAATGGCTGCAGCAATTGCATGAAGACGTTTGTTTTTTATTACCTTACTCATGAAACGAACATGAAGTATCAAAATCACGTGATCATTACGTGTAATCGTTGAACAAGTCACGTGCCTCCTGTATCCGTGAATATGTCTAACTGGTTTAGATTGGTGCGGTGGCAGGTGTGTTTTTGAGCGTTGAATACGAGAAATCAAACAATATAGTGAATTTCAAGACAGGATTCATTTCTGAGAAATGGTTGACTGTATTTTTGGTGCGATGTTAAAAGTAATTCGCCAGCTTTATTTGCCCACTTTGTCTTACCGGCGGAACGATCGGCGATCGGATAAAGCGATTTGTGTACGGCGGAACCCAGTGTTTGGTGCCTACGCATTTTATTGAATCACGGAACAGTTTTTTATCCAAGCTTGTCGATTATAGACTATTGTGACGTTAGTGTGACGTCATCCCTGGGAAACGTGGACATTTACTCATCTGCCGTTGTATATATATATACGTATAATGTTACGCCAAAGCAATATGTTGCCAAACCTACAAAACTACTAGTGCCTTTGACTTTGACTAAGTACAGAATGCTTATCTGCATGCGTAAGCAATACTTAGAACAGTGACTTTAATCAGATCTTATTTAGGCATTAAAGTATTTTTCTTAGAATGTCATGTGCGGGCGCTTCTGAGTTGACCTTTTGTCTGAAGCGCCCTCGTACGAGATTACTATTGATGACGCTGGTTGTCTTCAGTGTGCCATCCACCCTACTTCTGTTCAAGCGTCGATTTCTTCAACAAGTCTATTGACGTTTGGTTTTAATATCGTTCGTTTTTTAAGTAAATCTTTAACTTGAAGATCATCTGTTCGAATTGACTTGAACATATATATGTACGCATATCTGTGTTTTGTCTAATTTTTTGTAAGTTCGGAAAATGTTTTTAAAAGTTCTTTAAGTCAGGTTCGCACTTCATTGTTTTCGTGTTTGTTTTCGTTGCCAATTTGGTTATTTTTCAATCGGAAAGGGGATTCTGGCATTGTTCTAGGTTCATAAACGATTGAATCGTACATACTAAGCAGACAGAATCACTAAAACAATTTGTTCTAAAATCGGAGTAATCTCTAAATACTGAAAGTGGAATATGTTAATGCACAATAGTCAGTAACATATTGCACACTAAACAACTTCATGTGCACATCTGTCAGTACGTGTAGGTGTTGTTATTATCAAAACACTCATCATGATTTTGCCGCTCCGGAAATCAGGAACACTTTACATGATTTGGGGGAAGTTTTATGTTGTTTGTGAAAAACAGACACAATAAGTTTGGGTTTTAATGGATATAGAAATACTTTAAATGCCGGAAAAATCCAGTTGCGCATGCTTAGATGATGCATGCATTTTACAGATTTTAGCGACGACCATTTTGTATCCAAATTGTTCCAACTTTTATTTCTATAGTTCTTATTTTTGTCTTGATTGTAACGGATTCTACGATCACACGTCGACGAAGTTTGTTCGCTGTCAATAAAATAAAATACATGTCAAGTCTGTTGTGTTATTTGAAATTTCCTTGATATTTTATTGTTTGAGTTCAATGAGATCGTAAGAAATGTCATTATACTTCCAAATACTGTAGCCCAACAAAGTCAGACTAAATTTTAACCTTTTCCCCACAAGACTATGTGGCACAAATTTTTCTGCACAACAGACAAATTTTGAGTCAATTTATTGTTTTTACACAAAAAATGGGAAAAAAGTGCAGACTATAAACGGGAATATTTTGTGAATTTGTGATGAAAAGAGGGAACTGGTGGTGAAAAGGTTAAAGATAAAATGTTGCGCCGTGGGGTAAGTGGGATAAATGAAAACCAGATAATTGTTTTCACCTAACCGGCAGTCACCAACGAATGACAAAATGTTTTTGAGAGGTCAACTATATTACTGGCGGAAATTCGGTAAGGGGGCGCGCTCCTATTGACGTGGCCGAAGGTGAACCGGATTTGTCAATTGATCTGTAATTGTTGTTTTGCGTGCTGAAGGGAGGCGCCTAGCCTAAATCCGTGAGTGGTATTAGAATATTACTAGGAAAGTATGCACGAATACAAAACAGTATGAGTGTGAGGTCTACGTGACTATGTACTGTGCGGTGTTCTCGTAATAACCTCATACGTCTTCCAGATAAACCACTATGAGCCCCAGAACTGAACGAGATGGTTGAAATTATTTTTCAAGCTTATGGAGATACTGCGAAAGATAAATCGCCTTGTCGCTAGATGGCGCTATTTGTAGGAAAACATTACATTTTGTGGAACATCACAATAAATGTATTGCGCATAACAAGCACGTGACATTGATCAGCGTGATACATAATGTGTTGGCAAGTAATTCAAAAATTAAATCTATAATTTGATCAGTGTGTGATAAATAAAAATACTTCACAATTTCAAGGCAGGATGAAACTCGGTTTCTTTTTTCGGACACAATAAATAAATGCAAAGTTTTCGCAAATAAGAACGCATATTCTATCTAAAAAAGGGGGGATTTTTAAAAAAATATTTAGCACAGGAAAGCTTTCGGTCTACAATTGTATCAACCATTTTGGATTATAAAAAAATAGATTCATAAAGTGTATACACTCACGCGTTTTTGTGTGTTTCTGCTAAATATTCCTGTAACATCAAATAAGAATGAAACCTAATAAATATTTGTCCACTGCAGTATACATGGTCCCACTTACACCCCACTTTAAAGGGAAGTGGCCATCGCTCCACGAATTAACGAGATTACTGTTGATAAATATTGATTTTCCCGAATTTGACTTTCACTTTTCTAAAATGATTTTACTGATCAAAAGACTTGTCACTCCCATCATGCAATTTCTCATAGTACTTCCGCAGACACAGCGGCGATCGCCAACATAACTGCAAATAACCTCGCTTTCAGGAGCTCAGGAATTTGTCATTGTTGACGCTATTCTAGCGACGTGCATCGATGTCACGTAAAGTTCAATGTATGTACACAGTTTGAATGAAATCCATTCACACAAGACCGAGTTACGGAATGGCAGATATGTTTCTGATTTTAGCGATTTTTTGCACTGAAATTGCACAATCAGACCATTTTGATTGGAATCACAAACGGAACAGCCACTCATTAAAATAAAACAAAATGGCAGCCAGTCAGTCATTTTGAATCAGAACTTAAAAACAAAATGACGTACATCAAGCTCCACATTATATAATTCAATATATGCGCCAATTTTGAATGAAACGTGCATCTGATTCTAGAATGACTTGATCATCATTAAATGAAGATAAAAGTATAAGAAAAAAATTCCTTCCTCGTTGTTTTTATTGTTGTTGTGCCGTGTGTGTGTTTGTCGTCGTTTCTGAATTAAACTTTTACCACGTGGTTACGATAACTCAATTAGTTAATAATCGATTAACTATTTTGGGCTCTTGGCCAAGTTCAATGTTAAAAGTATAGTTTTAAGGATATTGGCGAAATTTCACTTACATTTGTCTTTTTTTTGTGGTTACAATAACTCAAGTATTTGTTATCTGATCATCTTCCAACTTAAATTTCTTATCAATCATAAAACATACTCCTTCAAGTTCAAGTATGACTAGCATTTATAATTTTCAAGTTCAAATTTGGCTACAATAGTCATTCGGTTGACATAAAATTATGTGCACAGAATGAAGACATTTATGCTAATCACGAGAACTAGATGTACGTAATATGCTTTCCAAGATTATGATTATTTCAAAGATAGTACAGTCATTCTATACGTTATTTTTATTATGGCAGTCTAAATATTTTTCCCGCCAAAAATAACCTTTCCCGCCATAAAGCTGGACAGTATAATTCTCCAAGTATTGCTTAGATACATTTCTGTGGTACTTAAGAACTGTTAAATGATTTATGGTATACTAGTGTTATCCTATAAGAACCTTGAGATTAATACAGTACATGTAATATTAATTCAGAAATGAATATTAATTAATTTGTTTTATATAATTACAGATGACCTCGTCGTTTTTGTTCTTCCAGTGTATTATATTACATTATTATTAATACTTTTATTTTTGCCCAGCATATTTTTATATATTTATTTATAGTTAATTTAATTATTTTATTCGGTTTATAAAGGCGACAATTAAACATTACTTAAATATAAGTGAAGAGAATGGAGACATTTGAACACTGCTGATCATAGAACCAGATTTCAGTAGTCTATAATGATTCTCCAAGATCTGATACTACTGTAGTGATCGGATTTTATTTTCCTCATGTGGTGTGAATCATTCTTCCCGCCAAAATATTGACGAGCACTTTTCACATCAAACAATTGTCATAATTTCCCCCGCCAAAATCGATCGTGCTATAACATAACATAATATTCACTCATGATAAAACCATAGACCCTCTTTTAGAGGGTCTATGATAAAACCAAGTTGAATTTTGGAATCAATGATCGTTAGTGAGTAATGTCTTCCATCGTCTTTCAAAGTTTCTTTAAATTAGTGTTAAATAAATAAGACAAGTTTATGACGTTTTGGAGCAACGAAAGCAACACGCATCTGTGATTAATCAGAATTTTAGTAGCCAACAAATTACACAAATTTGCTAAGTAAATGTCGTGTTTTAGAGAGAAATCCTATAAAATTTCGTTTGACTCTGTTAGATAATAAGAGTCAAAATAAAATCAGTGATTTCGGTTTAAAACTTAAATATAGCCTAAAAGGTGTTTACCAGTCCAGATAACAGTAAATAATTGAACGTTGAACGCATACTAGTAACTGGTTTTATATGTTCAACCCATGAACTATAAAAACCTCCTTGTAAGCGTGGATTTTGACATTTTAAAAAGAAACAGAAATACAAAAATAATATAAGCCAAGGCTTGGAAATAAAAAAAAAAACGTACGCGTGTATTTATGAAAAACCAAAAATTTCGATATGACAATTTCCTTGGCCCTTCCTGGATTATCAAATGGTTCACCCCAAATATCATAGTCCGCCCGCTCACGGTCAAACTAAAAATCACTTTTGTTTGATAGAATTGGAGAACAGTGGCAGCAAACACACAAACATGTTTCACGCTGTTTTCAAAAAGTGTCCCGCACTGCAAGGCACACAAAAACTTGTATTATTTTTGTGAATACAGAGTAGTTTGTCAAAACGACGGGTTAATGGTGTACTATACACGGCACTGTAGTTTTCGGTTGTGTTGTTTGTAATGTGTAAACCAGATAATCAC